TTGTCGGGGGATGTTAGAGGACAAAGGATAATATATTTAGTTTAACTACAATGTCATACTTTTAATAAACATGTCATTAGCTTCTTATAGGCATGCAGCTAGGAATTCTATATATAGCCCTGTCATTGTATATGACTGAAGATAATAAAAGTTTACTTTGATCTTTCCATTCGGGTCTTCATCTTCTTCCTGGGTTCTTTCAAGAACCTCTACTCCTTATAAGAAACCTCCGTTCCTCATGTAATATTTAGCTATGCATCAAACATGGGAAGCTAACATCTTAATGAATGGTGTAGATAAATGGTGTAGGAGCTATAATGTGAGAGTATTCAAAGACTAACTCTCTTTCATGTACATAACTAACTTTTAATATAAGAAGACCTATTTTTTGATAGGATATATCAAATGAAACGTTATGCAAATTTCTAAACAACAGTTACAGATGATGAGAGATAATGGATGGAATTCTTTATTGGAAGAAGTATATCATTTTTGTAATATTTTTGAAGTTGATGTTTCTGTTATGAGTTCTACATTCAAAGCTAACTGATGATCAACACACAGAAATGATGACGTGACAAATTTACATCATTATTGTGTGGAATTCTTTTACACTATTATTGATATGCAACTTCAAGAGTTGAATAATATATTCTCTGAAGCTAGTACTGAATTGCTTCTTTGCTTTCCAAGTAACTCATTCTCTGCTTATAATAAGGAGAAATTAATTCAGCTTGCAAAACTATATTCAGCCTATTTTTTTATAGTTGAACTTGTGGCTTTAGAGCACCAGCTATCGACATACATTCTTGATATATGTATAAGCGAGGAGTTCTCAACTTTGGAGAGCATTACTAATCTTGCAAAATAATTTATTAAGGACGTTAAAAAAGATATTGTGTACCCCTTAGTTCACCGGCTTCTTGTTTTAGCATTAACTCTATCTGTTGCCACTGCTACAGTGGAGAGAGCATTTTCAACAATAAAAATTATTAAATATATATTACGCAGTAAAATGAGTGATGATTGGCTCAACAACTGTCCAGTGCCATATATTGAGAAAGAAGTAGAAAGATGTATTTGATTTGGTTCTAAATGAAGTTGTAATGCAACATTATCATAAGATGCAAATTAGAATGCAAAGCTTCTAATTTTTATTTTAATATAATAACTTGTTTGAATTTTGTTATAAATATATTTTTTATCTTTTATAATCCCCCCCCTAAGAATTAAGGCTGGTTCCGCCCTTGACCTTACTCCTACTAGTCATGATCATTTCCTTAACTTGAAATCATTAAAATCCACATAATGAGCTCAAATCCTAACAGTAATCCAAAACTCACTAGAGCTTTCAATGCAATGATTAAAGAATAAACATAAAATGCTCAGTTTAATATAATCAATATAGTTAATAATAAAATATTATTAATAAAATTCAAAATGGTCAATAATAAAAGTAGAGAATCATTACAAAGAATCTAAAAATCAATAATTTATATGAAATTCAATAAATTATTAAAACAATGGTGCAAAAATCATCCATAAATCATTAAAAAAATCTATCTTATATATTCATATGCATCATTTGTTTATGTATTATCAATGCATCCAATCCTGTCAATATTATTAGTGCTATGAATGTATGCATTTATAAATGTATGATTTAGCAAGACTGAACATCCAATTTTAACGTTGTGTTTTCAACATATTTTATCCCAACGGATTCCTACTTGGTAATCAGTTATATCAATTATCACTTATCCAATCAATCAATTATCATATTCAATTAATTAATTATCATTACAAGTGAATTCATTAAATCAACAAAGAGTTGTCACTCTCTGCCCGTCGGTGTCATCGATCATCTGTTACAGGCTACAACCAGAATAACACCACAAAATATCTTTAAAGGAAAGCTTGTTCGCCCACCCTCTTGCGTAAGGTATTATGTTTTAATAGCTAACCCATTTTATAATATTAATAGTTATTCTTTCTTGATTATACAAATGCCACAATAAAAATATAGTAAGAAACAATCAATTATATTCAATAAAAAAATCTATATAATAATCAAAATTATTAAAAATTAAAGTGAGATTTGAGTTACAACAAATAGAAAAAATCTCTGTATAAAATTAATGGATGAAAAAGCCCCGAACAACCTATTCTCTCTTCCCTCTTTCTTCTTTGGCAAAGCACGGTGTTGAAATTCAAACTTTTCATTAAAAAAAAAACATTTAAAAAAAATTGGATTATTACAACTGCTACGACCACCCATCACTTAGTTCCAACATCAACCCGCTACCTCCTATTGTTTTAGTAACAATATGCTAGCCGCTAGTCACCATCATCATTGACCTTTATATTACATTTATTTTATTTCAATTTAAACAAAAAAAATTACATGCATTTATTTTACATTCATCCAACCCATTCAAAATAATTCAAATATGTTGCACTTCTGTTGCAATATATTTCATTTTACTTGATATTCCATTTTTATCCAACCAAACGGCTCTCATGCGAGTGTATGCAGCATTTCTTGATAGTCTATTTAATAAATATGGATGCATTTTTAATAGAAGTCTCGTTTAGGTGCTGCATATACTTCTAATTAGGATACTCTTATGAAGTTGAAAAAAAGAAAATTAAATAAATGATTTTTTTTCAAATAATATTAATTTATTGAACCTTGAGGATACAACTCATACTGTCTGAATTAGACAATATAAAATATTATTACTTGATAAATTATTGTTTAGCTTTATGAAAATTAAATCCATATAATTAAGATTAAGATAATTTGTTTTTAAAAAATTGAACAAATAATAAATATTATTGTGAAAAAAACTCATACATTTTAAATTACTTTCCATGAAGTAGTTGTCTATGTCTTCGTTTGGGATAATTTTCGTATTCTTTTTTACCACAGTTTTGCAGTACAAAAATTTCTTAAAAAGCAAAAAATAGTGATCAAAAGCTATCCAAAATGAAACCTATATTGAGACCGAGGCATTAAACTTAATCACAAAATATTATTTCAAAAGTTATTTTCTTTATTATTATTATTAATTTTATATTCAAGTGATCAGAGCACAAATCAATATGCTTGATATCAGCTATTATTTAATTTAATTTAATTTAATTTAATAGGTGTTTTATTAATCCAAACAAAAAAGAGGTTTTGATTAATTAATTATTTGAATGTTCATGCTAAACTTGAATGCTTTGACTTAACAACTCCTTTGTCAATATATATGTCGTGTATGATACTCCAACGTAGAAGTTTTGGATTGGTCTCTTGGTATGAATTTTTATTAGGTCTGAATACCTGACGTAGCTCTACATTCGGACGTCAATAAAATGATGCCACATGCTCTTACTCTTTATATATCATGCGGCCCGACGTCCCGACCCGGACCGGAACCCAATATTGCTATGTATTAGCTGATTTGTACAGACCAAGGTATTGCTAGGTTTTGCTCGGTAACGAGAAATACCATTCTGTCATGACCAATACCTAACAATACCTAGCAATACCCCGGTTTTGCTAGGTATTGCTCGGTATTGCTATGTATTGCTCGATATTGCTCGGTATTGGTCTTGACAGAGCGGTATTTCTCGTTATTGCCAAGTAATACCGAGCAATACCTAGCAATACATAAACATAACAATACTGGATTTTCGTTCCGGGTTGGGTTGTCGGGCCGCGCGGTAAAAAAAAAAGAGCATGTGATGTCATTTTATTGACGTCCGGATGTAGAGCTACGTCAGGCGTCCGGACCTAATAAAAATTCCTTTGATATATTATGTAAGGGATCTCAAGATTGTATGCTTTTTCACATAATTGCAAAGGAAAAAAAATTGATAAGAAATATATTTTCATATAATATTAAAATATATGACATCTGATATAGAGTATTAAAGTATATATTTTGGATAGTGAGAAGGGCTGATTAGTGCTATGTTTAGCTTATATTTAATGTACCACATTCACCATTCACTTCATGAAAATAAGTTTTATTAAGTCAGATTATTTGGCACTTAGGAGAACAGGGGTGCTACTAGAAAGATTGACCTCATTTAAAAAAAATGAAAATCTTTTGTAAAATTATTTGTATAATTTTAATAAATTGTGATAAATCATGTGAATCATAAATAGATATCATTGAATAATCACAAACAAAATAAAAAAATAGAGTACAAAATAATCATAATAACATATATTAAATATTTATATTTTCATGCAAATCACAGCAAATAATTTAAATGACAAAAAAGAGTCATGACATAATTAGAATAAATGCCATTTAGATTAAGACTTCATTTAGGACGGCTTTCTTTCTACTTCTTAAAGTAGCTTTTTAATACAAAAAAATTAATTTTTGTACTAGATAGCTAATTTCAGCAATAAAAAAGCCGCCACAAACAAAGCCTAAAACTTCGTTTGAAACAACTTTTTTATTATTTTCTTTTTAGTAAAAAAAAATATTAAAAATTTACTTTATAAAACAGTAAAAAAATTAGCCTAAATGAACCTAAGATTTTATTACATCATGCAATCTTTCGTCTTGTAAACAATTCAGCATGGAAGTTCCCTTAGAATAGGAAAGGAAGCATTAATTTCTATATAACTCTCTCCCTTCTCCTATGTGGCCTCTCTCTTAGATCTATGATTTCATTGAACCTTTACCTATTATATCCGTTTGTTCTTGCGTCCTTGACATCATAAACAAATATTTTCTCTACTTCTCCTGCATAACGCAAATCAAGCTTTAAATGTCTCAGATTTTGTTGGGACAATTTTCTTCCTGTTCTTTAAAACAGCTTTAAGTACAAAAGTTTTTTAAATTAAAAAATAGTTTTAAAAAACCTGACCCAAAAGAGGCCTAAGACGCAACTAGCCAATCCTATTAAATTTTGCAACAACTTCAAAATGACTCACTTTCACCAATACAAAATCCCCAAATCATTAACAAACAGCATTTCAAAAGTTCCTCACAAAAACAAGCATTTATCACATTGTTGGAAATATAAATGGAGCTATCATATGTTACTGCGGCCACTGAGATGTCTAAGTGAGACAGAGATAGCCTAACCACATTTAAGAACAGTTTTACAATACAAACCTCAAACAAAGCCCTGAGAACTATACATGTACAGGAGCAAGGCACTCTAACAAGACCAGAAATTTAAAAAGTCTACAGAATATTTTGCTCTAAGCTATCACAGCAGCACATAATATTAAGCTTTTACAACGGTAGTTCTGTACATTGGAAACCATGTAAGGTTGCCAGAATGCTTAAAAGATCACACTAACCTCTTATCTCCGGTGTTCTATATAAGAAGGAAGATCCAGTTATTAACCCACAATGATATCTCTCATGCAAAGGGCTTTTGATCAACGACCTGCATTGATTCCAAAGATGCGAACCTTGTGCATGTTTGGGAACTTGGCGACAACCAATATAATCACTGCGAGTGTATTTAGAAAGAGCATTGGTTGCTGGTAGTCAGTTGTGTGTGAAGCTATCAAATACCTAGCAAAGAAGCCATCAAAATCAAATAGTTTATTAAAAGAACAAATGAGAAAATCAAAATTCATGTTACTAGCTAAATATTTCCATAGAAAGCTAGATTGAAGAAGGATATGTCCAACTCCACAGAATTTGGAGTAGTTTGCTAAACCTGAAAGATCAACCAATAGCATCATCTTCTTAGATTTAAGAACATTTATACTACTAGTATATGGTAATGAAATACTTTAGCTGAGACTATCTTGATTGAAATTTGATAAGAATGGGTCTTCACGCCATCAAATTCATTTTGAGGGAACTAAAATACCATTTTTCTTAATTTCTGACAAAATTTTGTTTCCTAGAAGGTAATTCAATAAAACACCATGAACTGGACAGGTAGGCATCAAAACTGCCATCATAAATCCCAAGACATTGTACAGGACGCTTATTATTCAAATGATAAGTTTCACCGATTCATTTTGCAACGGACAATGGATATTGGGACTCGAAAATATAATTATAAGGCTCTAAAATCAAACCAGATTTGACACTTGGAAGACCAGAGATCTTTACAATATCTACAAAAAGTGGAAAAGGAAAATGTTTTGTCGAAATAATTTAGGTCACATAAATGTTATCACAGAAGTAGCCTTGATCGGTCTAACAACCGGTCAAAGAAAGCCAAGGTTACAAAGCACTTGTATGTTTCCTATCCATTTGTGTAGTTACAAAGGTAAGAGATCATGTGATGTCATCCCTATGGATGTTATGTATATATCCCCAAGGTCAATTGGCTATATGTCATGAATTTTGTTAACCCCATGAACACATTAGATGGATAATCTAAATTTTAATAATAACAAACTTGTGTGATGGTTATTAATGATTGCTTTGAGAAATGTGCATAACCAGTCAAATTAAGTCAGCAAGAGAGTGTGAATCCAAATTGAAGCTTGATTAAACTAGAAGAGTAATTCACTTGATGCAATTTGTTGCTGAATTGATGTAATCATTGAATGCAAGCTAAGATAGAGATTCGCATGACACAATTGTTTAAGATAATGTGCTTAGTTACAGTTTAGTGTTTATGCATCAAATTTTTCATTTGATGGAATCAGATTGCTAAAACTTTAATCAAGAATCCAAGAGGCTTAATTGCCACTTAAAATTGAAGTTAAAATGAGTAAATATTTATTAGTATATTAAATATCTATTTTATAAGTATAATATAAAAGATTTGGAATTTCAAATGTCATACGTGATGTTGCCCGGTAATGGACAAAATAGCAGGCCAATAAGAGCATGTGAGCCACGTGAAGGATCCAGGAAAGGGCATTTAGCACATGCTGAATATATTTTCTTGGCCTAAAAACTAAAGTTTTGTGAGCAATTGAAGGTGGATGAGATAGATCCATCATTCCACTTCTCAAAGCAATATCCTTTTTTATTTTATTTTGAAGGAGTTCATTGTGGTCTCTCTCGAGGCTTTGATCAAGTTCTTGTAGAACAATATCCAAGTGCTTCCACTATGATTGAAGTCATTTGCAACAAGTTGTGCAATTGTTTTCATAAAGTTTTATTAAATTTTTCCACTATTCTCTAGGTTTTTCAAATCTTCGTTACCAGAAATAGAGGGAGTTAAACTTTTAAAAACATTTTGTATTGTAGCTTTCTTGTATTCGCTCTTAAGGAGAAAATACAGGTTATGGTTTCTCCAACTTTTGGAAAGCAAAACAACAAATAGATAGTTGAATCCAAAGTGGGAATGGTCAAACGTGGACCTAGGTCAATATCTTGATCGGTTGAGCGTGGTGCTTAAGTGTGAGCTTTGATCAGTTGGGTGTCGAACCAAATAAAAATTACATGTTTAAGATTACTATTCGTTTTTGCTTGCCTATTTATATTTGATTTGTTTGTTATCAGACTTCATATTCGTATTGTAATTTCATGTCCAATCATATATCTAGTAGTGATATTATTCACATTGTTGTGATATCTTAAAAATTGTTGATCACACACTCGTACCTTAATTTTTCTAAGGTTACAAAAAACCTGAATTTATTTTAGATACTCATTTCACTCATCCCCACTTGGGTGTGCATCACATAACAATAAAAATAACCCACAACACAGGGATAATGCTTATGGTTTCAAATTCCATGGCATCTATATTAATCCATTCCCTGCTAGATCAATTGAGACTTTATCTAGATAGATACATAGGCCTAGATTTGATTTAAATACCACTCCTCAACAAGCTCCTAAGGTCAGGCTCAACTTCTAATAGTTATTCAGCCAAATACTAGTAGTCAAATGCGGGCTAAGAAAATTCGTGCCCCGGCCTCTCCTCTTTCAAAAGAGTTTAATGAATTAAGTTCTGAGTTAAAATTTCAAAAGGCAGATTGGGCATAAAATAAGACACTACTAGAGATTCCGCCCTCATTTTGTGAGGACTTTATGATCTGAGTTCAGGTTTCCTATAGGCGCAAGACCCTATAGTTAATTATCCCTCCCGATAACGAGAGAGAACTTTCGATTATTAAGGCTAGTAGTCAATCAGATACATAGCATCCGGCATATAGTAGCACCATGATTTGGTTTTGAAAATTTAATATTTAAAATTAGAAATTTCACCATATTGCACTTAAAGCGGATGGTAGGGGAATGGATGAAGGACCCGATCAAGATCCCATGGTTTTGTCGTCCCGGGCCATCGTAGTCCTTGTTCTACTTAGTCAGAGGAGGTAGTCGACCCAACCTGACAGAAGGATCTTTGTCGGCAACCATGTGCTGCTTCGTCCAAGAGTACCTTGTAGACCTGAGATGAATATTTGTCTAAGGGGACAAATTTGAATCCACCTTAGCTAACAGAAGGCTGTGCCTTATCGATTCTATCCCATTGATTCGTATCTTAAGGATTTGATGTCATTGGGGGCAGCAAAGTCGTTGGACCAAGACACTAGGTCAGAAGATCGCGGTCGTAATCGTTAACAATGTGGAGCCGATCTGGCCAGGCCATGGGTCTTTACAAAGCCATCCAGCCAAACCACCGATTATAAGATCAATGTTACGTCCTTGCTGGCAATAGACTATTTGAGAATGAATCTTAATAATATTCTCGACCAAATATTAGCTTTTTGTGAATTGAAATAATTTTCATATTTGTCCACCCTTACTAATTATTGCGGAAGATGAATGGGTTTCGCTTTAAGTGTTTAATGATTTATTTCAAATTTTAATGATTTTTAGAAATTAGGGTTTTTATGGGCATTTGGGAGGCATTTTCTTGAATGTTTGGGTCCCCTTCAGTTGAAATTTTCTGTCAACATGGCCATCATTAGGGTATTCACGTGCAATTTCATGATTGAACTCTATCGACTTTGTCTACTAGCGACATAGGATTGTGTTCGTTGTGGGCTTCAAGTCTTTATTAGTGGATTTTCCTGGTTATAGGCCTAGAAGGCCTAATATGAACTTATTAAAATAAATATTTCGATCGACGCTATGACCGCATATTTGTTTGATAGTTCGAGCCATACCAACTCCTATCTACTTGCATAGAAGGATCGGGCTCGAATTAAATTTATTATTTGACCCGCGTAGCATCCTTAGACATCACGTGTGTACTCATAACAAGTTGACCGGAGGTCATGTGGGTGTATATTCTTACATGTATACATGTTAATATGCTTGCATGTATACTTTTATATTTGCATGTACACATGTTGCAGCACATAGGCGAGGGCATTTTGAAATATTTGGCGCTGATCAGTTGTGTGAATGGTCAGTATTTGGATGTGCACAATGCTCTACGTAGAAGCCCGTAAACACTTTCTGTCTGCTTTTAAGGATGCGGATTCGATGGCGTGGCGTGGCGTGAAACTATGGTTATTTGCTGCTTCTTGCAGATGAGTTGTTGTTAAGAAGTGCACAGGACTTCATTTGAGAATTTATAAGTGCCTTCTGTCCGCTTGTATGCATGTTGTGGATCCGGTGGCATGTCATGCAATATAGTTATTTTCTAGTTGTTTTATACAGGTAGATTGTCGTGCACTAACGAGTCTCCGACGACAGCTCGTAGATGCTAGCATCTGTTGCAATTCCCTCGTATCTGCTCGCAGATGATGTATTATATGTGTATCTGTGTTCATGGGGGTCTATTATGTTTGCAACACATCTATCACTGTTGCTTACATGCATACTACATCAACCGTCATTATTTGTAAGCATTGCGTTGCGCTCATTGTAAACCCTCTTCCATCTGTGGATAGATTATTATGCTAGTCGTGACTTCTTCGAACGTGCTGGTAAGAAGAATATCATATCTGTTGCATATCAATTGTCATCGCTTGCAGGCGAACCGATATGACAACTTGTGAATTGATGTTGACCGCTAGTGAATTAAGTTTACTACACGCATCCTTTCATTGGCATTTGCAAGGATCCCTTCACATTCATCGCATGTCAATCATTGCTTGCAGGGATCTGTGCCTTTGTTTTTTATTGGACAATTGTTAGCTGTGGAGGCGTTACAGTATTTTTGACACAACAACTTGTAGGTACTTTGCATGAGCCATAAATGTGCTACCTTTGCCTGCATGAGGATCAATGTATTTGATTGTCGTTGCATGATTGTTGAATGTGAGGGTGCTGCAACAACTCGTAAGTGCCTCGTATACATATACTGTAAGTATATTGACTGTAGAAGATATGTTGTGTGCGTATCTGTATCTTGATGTTGATTCCATTTGGACTTTAACTTAATTAAAGTTACTTTAGCTGTCTGACCTGTTATATAATACAAGTAGCGTAAGATGTCAAAAAAGCATGTAGGATGAACTAAAATTAATGGTCTCAAAACAGGTATTTGGGTCAGGTTCTGAGTCGAACCTGGAGTTGACCCATGTCCAATTCAACTGACCCAAACTGGTTTTGCAAACGGGTCAGAAATTCAAACTCGGACCTGACTCGTCAAGTTATCGGGTTGACCCGACCCCGCTAACCCGATTTTGCAAATGGGTCGAGTGCGTAAGCGAGCTGCGCGAGCTACGGGATTGTGGGCGAGGCGACCTGGTGGGACCGCGTGAGTGTGCGGGTACAAGCTGGAGAGCAGGAGTGCGGGTGTGCGGGGCATGTGCTATTGCAGAGCTGTGCGGGACTGCGAGAGTAGGCATGCGAGGGAAGAGGGCGGCCTGGCAGGTGCAAGACCGCGCGAGTGCGGTGCTGGTGCGCTATTGCGTGTGCTCGGGCTAGGACTGTCTCACGGGACCGCACAGAGCATTGTGCGAGTGCAGGCGAGGCGACACAAATGGACAAGTGGACTCGGGTCAAATTCTGGTTAGCGGGTTGACCCGAACCACACCCGATTTTTCAAATTGCTCAAAAATTGAAACACGAACCGACCCGTTTGTTAAATGGGTCGACCTGAACCTAGATTATTCAAGTCGGGTTCGAATTGAGTCAATAATTGATACCCCTAACCAAAATATCATTATACGATCAATCCACTAAAAATGATATAGTGATTCACATATTTTCTGTAGCTCTATTATTATGTATGAAATCCAACGTCTATCTAATCTTAAGGAACCAGCTTAAAAAAGAACTAAGGATGCCTGAAATTGAACCAGTCCAAATGCATAGCTTGCAAGTACTCACATAGGAACCAGGGACAATGTATCATTCCCTTCTATTTCCCTTAAGAACGTAAAAGCTATGCGGGTTTGGGCAATTTAGTGCTACCTGGTTGATTTAAAATTAAGATGGTCTAGTGAGAACTTATGCAGTCCCACTACTTCCCAAAAAGAAGTATTCTCCAGTGATAGGGCATTTAATCAGAAACTACCTATTTAGCATCAGAAAGATACTTACAAGACAACGGGGACAACAGTCAAAAACTTCCTATTACGTGTAAGCTGCTTGCCATTATCAATCTGCTCCCACCATGTCAAATTATTGTATATGCCCTGATCTTCAGCAAAGGGTGTTCCCTTTCTCCAATGGAAAAACTGATAAGTAATCTGGAAAAAAAGATGTTTTAGACAAACTAAAAAATATTGAATAAAAAGTTTTCAAATAAAATGAAGTACAGAAGTAGTATTCTTAAAAGCAAGCTTGGCGCTCATGCCTCAACTTGGTGCCCAGGTAAGGCAACATGATGCCTCAAACATATTCAAGAAGAGCAGTACTTCTAATGCTTTGCATCGGCAACTGGCTTAATGCACAAAGCAACAAGCCAAGTGCCTTGATTAGATGGATGAGAGCTAATTCTGCAAACCCCACCCAGAATATGATTTAGCTTTTAATGATGAGAATTTACATGGTATGTTGTAGGAAGAGTAATAGTAGTTGGAGAAACAAGAATTAAGAGATCAAAACGAAACGGAACAGATCCATTCAACGAATAGCTAAGGCCATCACCAAAATATTATAGGAACGCAGCAAAGGTCAGCCTATAATTACTAAATAGAAAGGCAGCATTAGCCACAGAGTCAAAAAACAATTTAAAAAATGGCATAGGAAACAATGGCAACAATAAAAAAAAAAGAGTGTGAGATAGGGGACAATCTGCTCCCGGCTAGAAGAGTTAATTAAAAAAAGATAGAGGGACGATGCACTTAGAAGAAAGCCACGATGAACAAAAAAAAAAAATAACGAAAGTGCAAGCCAACCCAAATCATGAGACTGTTATCATCAATTTGGGTCGTCATTGTTGCCTCAGTGATTTCATCCTATCTCCTGACCACATCACTAATCTAATAAGCCCAAGGCAGAGACGAAATTTCGCCTACTCTGAATATTTTGCGGATCATCTAACCTTGACCGTCATCAAAAGTTAAATGTATGGTTTCTAACCCACCACATTGCAATGGCCTCAAGGTGTCACTGGGGAATTTCCTCGTTATATGTTCCATAAAGTGCATCCTTCATAATAGTATATGTTGCACTAGGTAGGAGACGGTGCAAAAATATGACATTTTAAAAGTGAAAATCATAAAAATAATGAAGACTATATTAAAAATCCAGCCTATAAGAAAATTTGTTCCAAAAATGGAAAACTAATGTCATATAGCCAGAACATAAGGCTCTTCAACATACATGAAACTTGAATATCACACCCCATATAAACTCCAACTTAATCAACTAACTTTACATAAGTTATGCATACTAAAATTAAAATAAGTGAAAAAATAGGTAGATAAATTAAATGTACATGAAACCACTTCTCAGTGATATCAAACAAACACATGACAGCAAAAACAATTAAATCAACAAATAATCACGCATGCTTCCAAAAGACATTAAACTTTTGAGGAAGATCAAAGGAAAATAGTTCTAGAAGGAGAAAAAAGCCAAAATGCACATGCAAACCGAGCTATTATTTCAGCAAGGAAACAATAGATATGTTTTAAATAATCAAACCAACAACTACTAATAGAAAGTGAGCTCAAATTGGATGCTTTTAAATTCATTGCCACCTCTCTCTCTCAAAAAAAAAAGGTAATGTAACCCAATCAAAAGAGCTCTCAAAGAACAGGATAGGGCACTATCATGCTTTCATCATAAAAAAAGTGTCATCATGTACGATTAAAAAAAATTTTAAATTTCATTTCCTCCCAAAAAATATTGTTTCTATGTGCCATGCATACATAGTGCACTCTATCTTATACACTTGATTGTATCACTAACAGCATGGAAAGTGCACCATGTCATGTCTTAGGCCAAGACGCATGTAATTTTGAAGTATTGACAATATGCTTAGGTGTTGCGAGGAAATCACCTTGTAATAGTTGCCCTAAAGTGTTTGAGAATAAAACCTCAACACAATCCCCAATAAATATTGTGAAAAATACCATCCATGATGCACCAATATAGCTATAAGACACATTTATTATTGAAAATATAATACAGACATGTGTTGAATACACACGCAAGTATAAAATACATACAATCTAATTCACATTATAATTATTTGTATTCTTCTACAAAATCAATAAAAAATAAGATTATAAAAAAGGCATTTAAACAAATTAATTGTTAAATGCATAATTTAATTATCTTTTTCAAAACAAGTTCGTTATATATGCCCTTCATTTATTTATTTATTTTGATAAGTCACATTGACAGCATGTCCAACATGTGTCAAGAGCATGATATGTCCTGCATGTGTTGAACACTTCATATTTATATTAAACAATGTCGGTGCATTATATAATATTATGGATTGCAGAGCTCTATGCGCCACAAGACTTGAAAATAACATAGAACGACATGTATAATATTTTATATAAACCAAAAAATGAACATGAAATTACCAAGAAAAATTCAATAAATAATAAATAAAAGATTAAAAAAAATCTTAAAAATTTAACACATTGATGCCCAAATATGCAAACCCATGATCATAGTCATATTGTAGATCCTTGAATATCCTCCCACAACAACAATAGTCCAATTGGTTGAATGCCAATCTTTTGCATTAATGCTTATTAATTGAAATTATTGGCATGCTTTGTCACAATAATAAACTATTGTGCACCAACTCTGTTAACAAAACAACCCCACAACCATCTTATACTTCATCTTCAAATGAAATCATCATTGGCTAACCTCAATTCTACATCGATTTTTGCCCTATAGCAACTATTGTTGGGTATTATGCTATCATTTGATTATAAATAATGTAGTATGAATTTATAAATTTAATTTATATATTTATATATGAACTAAATTTCTATTAAATGTGAACTAAAATCAATGATTGGGGATATTTATATTTAAATATATAACATAATTTAATAATTATTTATATTTAAATTTAAAATTATAAAATATATTATTTATGTATGAATTTTATTTATTTTTGAATCCCAAAATTACATTATTTCATAATTATTACATTTTTATCTTATCATTCAGATAACATTTAAATATTTTGATATTTATTACATCTTCTGGTTCGACCGTGGTCCAACTCCGGTCGAACCATTGAACCTTGAACCTCTCTATTTTCTGGTTCTATCTCTGGCCTACTTTTACAACCTTGATCTCAACACGCCAAAACAAAATGGGATGACTAAAAAAAAGACATCTACTTAAGGTTATCAAGACTAGTCAGTTCTAAAATCATGTCGCAAAAAGATATTGGTGAACAACTATTCTAACCTCAACAATTTTGATTAATAGAATCTTCTAAAATGATTGATTTCAAAAGTCCCTTGAACTACTCAACTACCTCATTGAATTCTTTCCTCTAGAATATTCACACTGATATGAATATAAATGTTATTATCTTATCAGTAGAAAATTTCTATATAAAAAATGTCACATTTAATAAAAAACAATCAGACTTAAATCAGACTTATCTTCAGAGTAAGAACAATCATATAGGTGATAAGTCTAATGAATTTGTTATTTTTCTCTACATTATTCAACTACTAACACACAAGAGACAAAAGCTTAATCCCACAAAGATTAACACTTCGGATAGTAAACCACTCCAGGTATATAAAAGAAGGACAAAGACCATCTAAACTTCCTTGCAAATCCAAGACTTGGAACTTGTGTCAGTTAACTTTCCAACCTCTTCTAACAATGAACTTGATCAACCAATTGCTACAAGAAAAGATGTTGAACATTCCCTATACCCTATAACTAAATACACATCTTTTAAAAATATTCATACCTATAAAGCTTTCCTTAAATATAATACCATTAAAATTCCGCAAACTCTACTTAAGGTATTAGGAAATAAGAATTAGGAAAAAACCATAAGAGGAGATGAATGCCTGAGAAAAGAACCACACTTGAAAACTAGTTGAGCTATCTAAAGGAAAAAAAGTTGTACGATGTAAGTAAATTTTTACATTAAAATATAAAAATGGAGTCTATAAAGCTATAAAACTAGGTCTAACGGAATAGTCACAAGAAAAAATTTTCCCCAATTATAATAATGGATATGATTCATATCTCTTTAACTACTAGTTTTGAATGGTCTATGTAACAATATGATGTAAGCAATGTCTTTTTGCATGGTGATATGGATGAAGAAACTTTTATAGATCTCCCACCAGGATTCAACAACTGCTTTTCAAAAAAGTAGGTACGCAAACTAAAAAAAGCATCAAGTGGATTAAAGCAATCTCCAAGAGCATGGCTTAAAATATTCACGAAAGCTATGAGTGTAATAGGATGTAAACGAAGCCAATGAGATCATACATTTTTTATTAAACATGCAATTAAAGAAAATGTGATAGTTCATATTATATATATTAATGATATAATTGTCATAGATGTTATGGATGAAGAAAATGAATCACTTATAAATACTTACAACAAAATTTAAAATCAAAGAACTCGGTAATCTTAAACATCTCCTTGGCATAATAGTGGCTTAATTAGAAAAAAAAAAAAAGATATTTATTTCACAGCTAAAATACATTCTAAACCTATCAAGAGAAACAAATATAACAAACTACAAGTCATGTGAAACTCCAATAGAAGAAACTCAATATTGATGAACAAGGAATTTTAGTTGGCAAATGATGATATCAAAGATTAGTTGAAAAATTAATTTACCCATCTCATACTCATCCAGATATTGCATTTACAATAAGCCTCATAAGTCAACATGCGTGAACCAAAGAAATATTCCCTCAAGCTATTATAGTCCTTAAGTGTTTAAAATCTAACATTGGAAAATGAAATTATCTGTAAAAGGCGTGAAACTCTAAAACTAGAAGGCTATCTTGATGATGGTTATGCGGGATATTGATACATAGAAGACCAACCTCAAGTTATAACACATTACTCAGGGAAAATCTTATAACTTCAAGTAAAAACAACTCATGAACTCAAGGTTAAGAGCATAACCAATTTTTGTAATTGTTCAAGGTATATATGAATCTTTATGAAAAAAATATTATAAAAAATCTAAAAATTAAATGGAAAGAATCTATAGGAATGTATCGTGATAACAATTATGCAATTAAGATTGTCCAAAATCCATTATAACATGATT